CTCACCCCTTTAACCTGTTTGTTGACAAAAGACAACATGTTGCATTGGGATTCATAACTTAAATGGTGAGAACTTGGGCAAGGCTAGTTGCCTACTTGTCCAAGACTCTGGACTCAGTGTCAAAAGGATAGCCTCCCTGTTTGTGTGTGCTCACTGCTATAGCTCTCCTGATCAAAGAAGCGGACAAATTGACTCTGGAACAAAACTTGACTGTTCAGGTGCCACACCCTGAGTTTGAACTCCTCGATAGTTGGGGACACTGTTGGCTCTCAAGCAACCACTTCACTCAGTACAAAGACTGCTTTTCAGAAATTCCTGACTCATGTATCAGCCACTTAAAGCTTTAAATTCAGCCACTTGCTTGCCCAAAGAATTCAGACAGCCAGACCATGACTGTCTCATGTTGACTGATGAAAGGTTTGCTAGCCATCCTGACCTGCAGATAGAGCCTTTGAAGGGTATTGGGTACATTTCATTCACAGAAAGAAGTAACTCATTTAGAAATGGAAAACATCAAGCTAGCTGTGCACTTGTCACTATTGAAGAGGTGCTCCTAGCTGGAACTCTTCCTCAAAACTGGTGGACACAATGGACTGAAATTTGGGCTCTAATACAAGCTGTTAACTGGGCAAAAGACAAGGAGGTAAACATTTACACAGATTCCAGGTATGTTTTTGACACAGTTCATGTCCACAGAATGTTATATAGAGTGTGGCCTCTTGACAAGCCAAAAGAAAATAAATCAAAAATAGTATTGAATTCTTGCAACTTTTGGTTGCTGTGTGAAAACCTAAAAAGGTGGCTGTCATCCACTGTAAAGGACATCAAAAGATAAAAGGCTCTGTCACACTTGGAAAACAAAACACAGATGAAGCTGCAAAATTGGATGCTGAAGGCGCTACCTGGGGAGATATTGACTTGGTACAAAATTTAGTAGCTCTGCACAGAATACCTCCAAAAACTATTCTCAGCCTTCAGTGGGGGCCTCTTCACTACACTAAAGATGAAATAAAATGGCCACAACAGGAAGGCGCAACTGTAGAATCAAATGGTGTCTGAGCCTTGCAGGATGATTGAATGGTCATCCCTAAGGAGTTAGCTTACATTTGGGTGAAACACCACCACGATATCACCCATGGAGGAAAGGCTGCTATGACCAGCTCCTGAATCACTATTATTATATCCTAACAGCAATCTGTGTGACATTAGCTGAAGATGCCAGACTTGTGCAAAGACTGAGGCCTCAACAGGCTCTCGACACCCACCAGGAATCCAACATGTAGGGCACTCCCTTTTTGAGGACCTCCAGGGATATTTCACTGAAATTAAACCAGGTCAGGGTTACAAATATTCTCTGGTCCTTTTCTGTCCTTGTTCTGGGTGGTCAGAGGCAGTCCCTGCAAGAATGGGAAAGGCCTCTGAAGCATGCAGGGCAATGTTAAGAGAAATCATCCCCAGGTATGTGCTGCTCCTGACTATAGGGAGTGACAATGGACTGTCATCTGAGCAGAAATTATCCAGAAATTAGCCAAAGAATTAAAAAGTAAATGGAACCTTCACACTGCCTACAGGCCCCAGAGTTATGGTAAACTCAAAAGGAGGAACAGAACTTTGAAATCAATATTTACCAAATACTATTAGGAGGCTCAAGCACCTTGGGGTGGACTCGCTCCCAATGGCCCTCTTGAAAGTCAGAACATCACCAGTACCCACTGGATACAATCCTTTTGAAGTCCTGTTGGGAAGACCCCCACCTATAATAAAGGGTCTTGGGGGAGACTTACGTGAGTTGAGAAACATCACTTTACAGGAGCAAACTTACTCATTTAGGCAAACCTTCTCCCAGATACTTAAGAACACAGCAGAAGGGGCACTCCTTCCCACTGACACTCCTGCTTACTTGCACAGCCCAGGGGACATAGCCTGAAAAAAGGACTCATGTCTTCTGGTTGGAGGGACCTATACTTAATAATTTTGACTATTCCCACTGCAGTAAAGTTGGCAGATATCCATCTCTGGATTCATTACTCCAGACTAAACAGAGCTCATTGTGACAACTGCTGGAAAGCTTTCTCTGGCCAGTCGACCCCCTGAAGACTACCTTGAAGAGACAAAGCACTCAAAGCCCTGTCCTCATAATCCCTGGAAGCTGATGAGTCAACACACAGATGAAGACTGATTGGACACTGTACACGGGAGCATCTGATTAAAAAATCTCATGTACTATTTTTCTGTTTGGTTTCTGGCATCTTTCCTTTTGATAATCTGTACTTTTGCCCTGGGGCTCCGAACTGTTACCCCAGAGGATTGGAGAATTTCACAAAAGATTACCTTTGTCCTTCTCTATCTTGTTGTAGTTATTGGGCTAAGTACCCTTAACTGTCTAAAATGAGTTTCCCATGGGTAATATTCCTAAACAAACTAGGAGCACATGTCAATTCAGGACATTGGAAATTCCAAATTCAGATCTATTGTTTATGTCCCATCATAACTGTTACTCCAGCCTTATCCCACTATGTGGGGAAAGACCTTTTGCTTCCTGGGTTCCTCCAAGGGCCAAAATGTCCCTACTGACCGTATAGATGATTTGACTATTACTTCCAGTTCCCCAGTGGCTCCCCAGTGAACTTTCGTTGTTTTGATGGGATTCACCATTTTTTTATGGTACCACCATGAGTCTCTGAGCACTTGCTTTTCTAATAACTTACCTGTCTGTCTACTTGAGTCAATAGGGTCCTGAACATGTCCATAAGTCACTTAAAAGAATCACCCTGTCATACTGCCCATCCCAGCTGGGATAGCCACAATGGGAAGTTTAACCCTTAGCAACATGGCCTTGGGTATAGGACAACAACACTCACAGTTAAGTGCCCAGATAGCAGGACAGTTTGCTCAAATGCAAACCTAGACACACTACAATAACAAATGGATTCTTTCGCTGCTTTATTCCTTCAAAATTATAGCGCTTTAGATCTCTTGATAGCTCAACGTAAAGGTACTTGACTTTTTCTGGAAGGAGAGTGCTGTTACTGTGCCAACAAGTCAGGGTTAGTAAGACAAAACTCCTGTCATCTCTGGAAGCATCTGCAACAGAGAGCTAACAACGGGATAAGAGCTCCTACCTAGTGGGGATTCAAGGATTTTCTCACTTCCTGGGCAGGAAGCTTGCTCAGGCCAATAGTGACGCTCCTGTCAGTTCTTCTTGTAGGCCCAAGTGTGGTTCAAATTGTAACCTGGTTTCTGTCAAAATTATTTGAAGCTATACATCATATAGCTCTTTCAAAGAACACTTCCCCCTATCAGCTTCCTAAAACTATGGAAGAAGATTTTCCCTGTTAAAAAAGGAAGAATGTAAAGGCAAGTTTAAAATTTATAACTAAACCTTGGATTCAAGGACAGACCAAAGCAGACCAGCCAGTTCCCATAATTAGAAAGTAACAAAGTCAGCTAGCCTTGGCATTCCAAAACAAGCTACAGCTTGTAAGATAAATGTAACTCAACCAGACAGTGCATCTTATTAGCTTGTTTTAAAGACTTGTCACTTAAAGACAGACCCAGCTCAGTCTTACACAATGATTGATTCACCTTGCTCACCTTAGCTCTATTATACGATAGTAATCCCCAATTAACTCGCTTACTATAAGACTGCCTATAAGTCTGCCTATGACAAAACAATATGTAACCAATTGTAAAATATCCTGTTATCTGTCTTTTATACTTCCTTCTAACAACCTGTACAAGTGACTGTCTAACCCCAAGATTGGGCTGGGATTTGAAAACATTTTCCCCCAGCCTGCCAGTTGAAATAAAGCTGTTTGCCTTCGAAAATTCCTCTGTGCTGCGTGTTCTCTGATATTGTCTGATTTACCTGCAACACTAGGAATACCGAAGGAGATTAAATAAATACACAACATCATTATTCATTAGGGAAATGCAAATAAAACAACATTCAAATGTTACATCACTCCAGTAAAAAATGAGAGCTATCAAAAATGTAAAACATAAAACATGTGAGAGAGCTTGTGGGAGAAAAGGGACCTGTAACATTTAAACATTATTGATGGGAATGTAAACTTGCAAAAACTTTACTGGAAATAGTACGGAAATTCCTCAAAAATTTAGAATGAAAAAGAACTACCATATGGCCCAGAAATGCCACTTCTGCATAAATATCCAGTGGAAATACACACATTGAAGAAAGACCCTTATTCTCACGTGTATTGCAGCACAATCCACAGTGATCAATAAATGGAAAAAATCAAATTATATATCAACAGATAAGTGGACTAAGGAAATGTTATACACACAATGGAATATAATTCAGCTATAAAAATCTGAAATTATGTAATTTGCAACACCATAAATTGAAAAGGAAACCATTATAAGTGAATAAGGCAGGCAGAAAAAGAAAAGTACAATGTGACCTCAATCACACATAGTTTCTGAAAAAGTTAACTCAGCGATGTTGAGAACTCAGTGGCGGTTACAAAAGGCTAGGCTCAATAATGGGGAACAGAGATATGGGGAAATGGCGGGCAATGTGTTGTATGATGTAGTTAAACAAGAGGAAGAATTTCTGTTAATCTGTTGCTCACTGGAGTGACAACAAAAAACAGTAATGTGGCATACCTAAAAAGGGTAGAAGAAACTATTCTTAAAGTTTTGCCGTAAGCAAAAATATGACGAGATGAAGATGTTAATATTGTATAAATATTTATCAATATTGTGTAATTAAAGTTTATGTGTCACTCTACAAATATGTTTGAGATATGTGTTAAATTTAAAATATCGTTTTTTTTATTTTTTATTTTTTGGCTTTTCTCCGGTACCGGGAACTGAACTCATGACCTTGCGCTTGCCAGGCAGGCGCTTTTGCCGCTGAGCTAAATCCCCAGCCCCTAAAATATAAAAATAAAAGTAATAATGCTACAAATTCATAACTTCGTGCTTTAATTTGACTCATAAATGTAAAAACAACTTTCCAAGCATATTAACATTACCTGGTGAAGGCATGTGTCCAAAAATGCCATTGAAGAAAGCAGGCATCCTAATACTACCACCAATATCAGAGCCCACACCAATCACTGAACAGGCAGCTGCCAGAGTGCAGCCTTCACCACCTGTAGAAAGTGCAAACAAAATAAGTTGAAATAAAATGTTAGGTGCATTATTATTTGCGTGTAATAATTTTTCCATCCTTTCACTATTTAAATCTTGTGTCTTCAGATTTGAAGTGTCTCATGATTTCAATCATGATTTTAATCCATTCAGTCAATCTATATCTCTTACAGAAATTACAACATTTACACTAATGTAATTACTTATGAAGAAGACCTTACATTTGACATTTTATTTTTTGGTTTCTCTTTTTGAAATTCTTACAGCTATTTGCCTTTCAATTCTTCCATTACTATCTTTCTTTTTGTTGATATTTTTCACAATATCATGTTCAACCCCTAATTTCATTTCATGTATATTATGAAGATATTTTCTTTGTGAATATCATGAAGATTACATTAAAAATGTTGAAGTTATGAAAATCTGCTTTAAATTTTTACTTAAATTATATACAAACTGTACTTATATGGAACTACCTCCCCCGTCTATATAACTAGTGTCACAAATTACAACTTTATACATTTTGTAATTAATACCATAAATATGTAATTAGATTATATTTGCTCCTTTGAATCTGTATAAAATAAAACTTGAGCACTAGGGATGAAGTGAAATGATATAAGTGCCTGCCTGGCAAGCTCAAGGTCCTGGGTTCAAATCCTGATACCAAAAATGCAAAATAAAATAAAAATTGGTGTTACAAACCCAAATTACATTAATTTTTTAAAACTATTTCCTCCTGACTTTGTTTTTATAAGAGAAGTTTTTATTTTCGTATGGCTTTGAAATCTTTTTTAGCAACCTTTCATTTCAAATGAAATACGCTCAACATTTATTATAGGGTACATTTAGTGTAAATATTCTATACTCACTCAGGTTTATTTTGTAAATGTCTTAGTTTCTCCCACAGTTTAAAGCACAATTTTCTCATATATAGACTTTTCAACTGGAATTTATTTTCTTTGAACACAGTCATACCATTCCACCTCCTTCTTTCCTCCAAAATTCTTCTTAGAAATCTTTGGAAAAATATTTTGAATTTCCTTGGTAAAAATTAAATCACTTTTCTCAGGTCCCTTTCAAGATTCTTTCTTTGTCTTTCAACAATTGATTATAGGTTTTAGTGTGGGTCTAGCTCAAATGATTTTGCTTGTTGGTCATTAAGATTTTGACCTTATAGATCCATGTTTTTCTCTTACGAAGCTGTGCAAGTCAACATCGAAAATGTATATATGAAGCTCTTTGCATCTATGCTGTATATATGGACATCCTGACAGGTCAACTATGGACTCTGCAGAAGGAGTATGGCATGACATGTAGGGAGGGTATAGCCTTGCAGCTGCAGAAAGGAAGTATGTTTCCTCTGCTCTTCCCAAGTTTCCCAAGCTAACTGTAGCCTATCAGCCCAGTTAGTTCCCTATGCTGTCAGCTCAAGTGTAATATATGCTTTTCCTAAACTTTCTTTCAGATATTTTAAATACAGTACATACATTTTGCCAACATCTTGGGCATTGTCATGGGCTACCTGAAGTATCAAATTATTTTCATGACACACTGATAGAGATCACTGCAAAGCAGCCCTGAGCAGGATTTAAATTAATCGATTGGTTTTTCATGTTCCCTTCTGAATCTGTCCAAGGCCCAGGTTCCTTGTCTGGAAACGGGTGGTGGACTCATAGTAACTTTACCTCTGTGAGTCACTAATCCTTACTAATGCCTGTAATGGCAGATGAAGCCAGAAAGCCTCAAAGGATAAGATCAAAGCCAAGGACACCTGGATCTGATCTCAACTAGGTAAAGACTATAACCTCAAGCACCTCACTCCTCAGTGGATCAACTTAATCCTTATTAAGGGGTAATTCAGTACCTTACTTGGAGAAGTCCTTGAGTAATTCCACCCTTCTTGAGTACTCCCCTCCCTTCTTCTGATAACCAAATAAATATTGACCACCCAGAGAAGGTCTTGATCTTAGACCTGAGAGAATCTCAAATTCTGTCAGAGGGCTTTCATCCTTCTGGTGACCTGAAATCATTCCATTTGCCTTATCATACACTCGTTCAAGAGATTGTGGACCTGATCAGCCTGCAATAACTAAGGGATATCATTAGCCCAATAATGTACAGCTATATTATGCTTAAGGTACATTTTATTTTTAATTTTATTCATTTAATTTTATGCTTTAAAATAATATTAATTAAATATCTTTACCTAATAAAATGTGTTTTAAAATTCATATCAAAGCAATTCCTTTTTTAAAAAATAGTAAAATATTAAAAATATATTCTTTTGTTATGGATGCATGTTTAGAGGTCATAACGATTACACTCCTTGTGATGAGTTGGTATAGACATAACACATCCCAATTCTTTTTTAATCCCCTTCCTATAAATTAAAAAAGGGGAATGCCACCTTTATGAATCATCACATACCAGTCTTCATTATGCTTCACTTTGAATTTTTAAAATCTTTCCTCTAATGGTGTTTTAGCTTATTAATGCTGTATTCTCTCCTTCATATTTGTGCTATAGCATATGGTACCTATTAAGCAGAATATGTCTAATCAATGGGAACTCCCCTACCCACTAAAGTGCTGGAGGAGGGGATCTACCTGTGTGACTATCAATAATACAACCCAATGCGTTCCCACCATGCAATTGTGCCCATGAACTCTGAAATGATGTAAAGCAGCTGACGGACCAAATAAAACACCAGACAATCCACCTGACTTGGGGTCAACCAAAAAAGATGGATCAAATGGCTTGTGATATACTACATCAAATCAGGACACTGGTCTCTCCCACAAGCACATTCTTGGCTTATCAGAGTGTGGTTTCATGCCAGATCAGAAGGTAAATGTTCTATTAGGGATAAGCCTCCTGCTTTTAAGTGCACCCATTCCATCTGCTAACACAGTTTATTGGGATCATGTCCTTAACCCTCCTCGTTTCACAGCTTTAATCTGGTGGCATGCAGAACCGCCTCTCACTTCTAATGATTTAGCATGGACAGAAAGTATATGGATCCCAGCAACCGGGCTCCCCTCCCCCAAGTACCACCCGCTGTCCAGAAACTAAACACTCACCCTCCTGACTGAAAGTCCTCCATTCCTCCTTACTATGTGTCATAATCCCACTTCCTGTGTCACAATCAAGTAGCAGCCATATTTATACTATCAACTTACAATCTAACCTTTGTAATGGTAATCACTGAAGGTATCACACAAGAGCAAGAGGACAGTTCAACTATAGTTCCTCCTTCTTTCTCAATCAGCCATGTAAAAGGGGATTGGAGGTACAAACAGTATTCAGTACAATTGTCCCCATGCTATATAGAATGACCATGCATCAGTATCCTTTTCAACACCATTGTGCTAGATTGGGGGCCACATGAATCTCCCTGCAGTCATAACAAGACACCTTTGACACTTATTCCAATGAAACTATAAGCTGGAGTGAACATGGTCTCTCTGGGCCAACTTTAAAACTAATGGACAACAATGCCCATATAAGCCGCCCCACATGCGTAACTGTGGACTGGACTGCCCTTCTTCCCTCTTCTATTGCATGGAAAATATGAAAACAGTACTGGCACTTATTCCCTTCATGTTGATCAAAATGTGACTGACTTTATAAGTGTTTGTACAACTCATCCTTATGTTTTCCTATGGGCCAATGTTTTTCCATCTCTAAATATATCTTCTTGGTGTAATATTGCTATCAATGTTCCTTATTGGTATAGCAATTGTATTACTAATAATAATGTATCTCAACATAATGCTACTCCTGTTATGATTCTAAAATATAGGTCAGCAGTGTGGCTACCAGTAGGTCTAAAGCGAATTTTTTCAGAGGAATATAGTATCCCAATACTATTGAAGACTTTACAAAGGGTTAGCCAAAATGTTTCATCGCCACTCTAACAGCCTTCGTAATATCAGCTGTAGTTATACCTACATCCATTATCATGGCTAGTGTTCCCCTTGTTGGCCACATCAAAACCACTACAACAGTGGAGTTGATACTTTGGAGTATGTCTATACAGTGGAGTCCAATGTTACCAGCTGAATTAAAACAACGAGTAGATATTGACAGAGATATTATGGCTGGGATTGCAGGCTCTTGAGGTTGCAGTGGAATGGTTAGGGGAACAGCAGGCCACTCTGGCTACCCATTTGCAGTTAAAATGTGATTGCAGGATGTTAAGCACTGTGTAACAGCCATTCTGTTTAACTATACTAAAAGAATTTGGGAAAGAGTGAAATCTCATCTACCAGGTATTTTAACATATCATTGGAGCAATACATTGATTCACTACGTAATCAGCTAGCACATCAAATAAATACCATACACCAACAATACATTCAAAACACAGTGAAAGAGCTAGAGGAGGGTTTCCATTGGTTGAGCTCTTTACCATAGTACTCAGGACTACTGGCGATATTTATTATTGGAGGATTGCTGTGTACTTGCTTAGCTGTTGTGACTACTCCATGCCATGCCACAGAATGCAATTTCAAGAACAAACCTCAGTTATAATGGGACTTCTCGCTGAGGCTCAGATCAATGTTTTTCAAGCCACTGTTGTTAATAATAATAATTTGAAAGGGGAAATTGTGGAGGTCAACAATGAAAATGTATATATGAAATGCTTTACACCTAGGCTGTAGATGTACATGTCCGGACAGGTCAGCTAAGGACTCTGCAGATGGAGTACTACGTGACTTGGAGGGAAGCCATAGCCTTGAAGCTGCAGGATGTGGGCATATTTTCTGTACTGTTCCCGAGCATTCCCAAGCCTATCTACTCAAGCCTATCAGCCCAAGTTTCCAATGCTATCAGCACAAGTGTAACATGTACTTTCTCAAACTATGCTTTGGACTTTTCTAACAATTCCTTTGTTTAAGACAGAGTATCCTTTTAATAAACAGAGTGGTCACTATCTCTCTCCTCATGTCACAAGTCTTCTTTCATTGTGTGATAGCCCGATATTAATAATTGAAGA